AAATCAAACAAATTTCGAAATTCGTGTAATCTCCCGGAATACATTTTAGACTCTACCGTCTTAAAGTAGTTTCAATATTCTTAGCATACTTAAGTTAGGATTTCTTAAATTTCTTTGACGTCGTAACACTTCAGTAACTTTATATCTCTATTCCTTCAGCACAACACAGTATATTTTTAACTACTTCACCCTTCTCTTGGGCGACCATAGAAAGGAAGCAGTACGAAAGCATTTCATGCAGCAAATATAAACTTGCAAACACGTTGAGTATTTATTTTGCTAACAGCTTCTGAGAAATCGACTTGCGGAGAGTAAAAAGTTCTTTTGGAGTATTGTATTGCAGCATACTTGTATAGTTCGATAAATAGAACGGAGATACTCAAATGCTCTAAACGGTGTGTTGCTCCGGTGCTGCCATAAAAAAATAATGTAATTGTTAAAACTGGTTGTTTCTGGTGATTCTGAACAAAATTGTCATGTGTTCTCATATTTTTTATTAAATATATTATTTTAGGGATCTATATCATCTGCTTTTTTAATTTAGAAATTTTGTATTAAAAATTAATTTTTTATTTTTTAATCCCGATGTTGGGATTAAAGGTAAAATTTTAATTTTTTTATTTCAAGATGTTTGAACTTGAAAATTGAAAATATTAATTTTTGATTTAAATGAAGTATGCAAACGCGAAAAAATCTTAGGTCTAAAACAAATTCAGTTTTAATTCTTAATATATGTTTGGGGTAACGCTTTTTTTTTTGTTTTGCAATCCGGTAGTTGGGAGTAAAATATTTTCTTAATTTAAAAATTTATTTTTAATTTCGTTTTGGCATTAAAATTTTATTTATTTTTGGTTTTTTAATCCCGTATGTGGGATTAACATTTAATTTTTTATTTTTTTAATCCGGTATGTGGGTCTACATTTTTTTATTTTGTAATCCCAAATATGGGATTTAAAAAATTTAGTTCAAATGCTAATTCAATTATTTTTTTAATGAATTATTTGCAACCCTGGCATGGGTCATCCACCGAACAATTGGTTCGTATGTGTGCTATCAATAGCACAAACTTTGAATTAGTTGATTCCAGAAATCAAAGGGTTCCGTTTGAGTGTACTCATATCGCTTTTCCACTTTCGCAAGTACCTTTGCGCGAGCGACATATTTCATTCCTACCACTTCTTCTGCGGTGCTGGCACAACTCACAACTTTTTGTGCAATTTTTCGTTTTTATTTTTATATATTTTTATTGTTTTATTTTATTCTCTCTCGCTTTGCTTTGGAATAAAAAGCAAAAAGCTTGTTGCTGATGCGTTTTTAATTATATTTATTGTTTCGTTTTAGTTCAGTCTGCCTCGGTTCGCTACTTTGCTATGTGGCGTGCATGACGCTGGTATTTATGTGCAGCATAACCATATTGCTTGTTTTGTTGTTTTTGCTTTTGATAATATTTCTTTTTGTTCGCCTGCACCAACTAATGACAAATTTTGCAAAATTACTTTCCAGTGTCATCGTTGTTGCATGCATGCTTTTTATCACCTTTTCCACGCTCTCACTAAATTACTAATTCTCAACTCATTTATCCAAAGTTAATGATTACGTCGCCCTATTCGCTGGGGTTAAACGATGTGGAAAAACTATGTGTTCATAGCAACAAATTCTTAAATATAATAATAAAACTATTCAGTATGAACTCTAACACATGTTCAAAGTTTATACGGCTGAGTCATTATATTATCAGTAAATCAAAAATAATAAAGTATTGCATGGGTACGCAATAAAATTAAAGCGGATGTCTCATATGGGATCGACGAAAGTTTTCGAATGCAAACATAGTTTTTAATATAAAATAAGTTCAGAAGGCTCGGGGAGTGTCTAACCTTTTAGTGCAAGACTAGCTTATTGGAAATTGCACATACAAGTGGTTGCCGAATACGAGGTGCTACAGCATTAAGTTTGGCTCACAATACGATTAAGAGGATCATATCAAAAAAGCTAAGCTAATATTTTCTCTATATCATTTTCAATCTAATTTCCTCTTTGTTTAGGTTTTATTTAACTTGCACTCAAATGTATAAAAAATTAATATTTCGGCGGTGATTTATGCAACCAAAAATTCCAATCGGAGTTTACTCGTGGAAAACGGTTTTAAACTGGCAACAAAAACGGTTAATTTTTGGAGTGTTAAGCGCTAGATTGTAGCAGCTTCGACGGTCACATTCAAAAATCCACGTCTGATCATCAGTAATGGCGCCTTTGGTGCATGTAGGGTTCTCAGCTGCGTTGTCTAGCATATATTGCAACTTTTGCTTCACGTCGTTTTTGCTAACTATGGTATTTAAGTCTTTTGGTACGAGTCCAGCTTTGGCACGCTTAATACACAAAATATTAACAAAAATGTCTTAAGTCGATTTTTAAGAGATCTTTGCTATCTCTCTGATGCCAACATGATGATTTTCAAGCTCTGTTTCTTTTACTCTTTCGATGTCATCGTCAATAATAGAAGTGGATGGACGACTCGTATCAGGCAAGTTCACAACCTTTACTGAATGCTTTGTGCCACTCAAATACTTATGTTCGTGATGAAGTAGACTCTCCAAAATACTATTGCAACATTTCCATTGATTCTATAGGCGTGATTCCTTTGGAAACACCAAATTTCAACCAAACTCATTGTTCAATTTTGATAAGAGTCGCCAGGCAAACTTTTCGCGTCGAAAACAGCTGCTAAACACACTCTAATTGACATATGGAGATCGTACTTCACACGGACGTGAAAAAGGTTGTACCAATCTCGGAAAGCATTTTTTATACTCAGAACAGAGTATATTTAGTTTGCCAAGGTGTTTGTAACACCCAAAATGAAACGTCGGAGGCCCTATAAATTTTATATATACAATATATGATCAGCGTAGCTAGCCGAGTCGAGTGTTCGTCTGTGTGCCCATCTGTATATACGCCAATTAGCCTCTTAGTTTTTGAAATATTGGTCTGGAATTTTGCACACGTCCTTCACTCACCAAGAAGCTGCTCATTTGTCGGAACCGCCGATATCGGACTACTATGTTATAGCTGCCGTACAAACTGAACGATCGGAATCAATATCTGGTACTGCTTCGGAACCAATGAATGCTTATAAATGAGACAACCTTTTTAAAATTAAAAATTTGATTCGAAATTCGAAAGAAGTTTTAGTAATTTCAACATTAATATTGATATACCTATGAAATGAATATTAAAATCAATAACAGCAAACCCATTTTCAAAGTTCGTGCAATCTCCCGGAATACATTTTAGACTCTACCGTCTTAAAGTAGTTTCGATATTCTTAGCATACTTAAGTTAAGATTTCTTAAATTTCTTTGACGTCGTAACACTGCAGTAACTTTATATCTCTATTCCGTCAGCACAACACAGTATATTTTTAACTACTTCACCCTTCTCTTGGGCGACCATAGAAAGGAAGCAGTACGAAAGCATTTCATGCAGCAAATATAAACATGCAAACACTTTGAGTATTTATTTTGCTAACAGCTTCTGAGAAATCGACTTGCGGAGAGTAAAAAGTTCTTTTGGAGTATTGTATTGCAGCATACTTGTATAGTTCGATAAATAGAACGGAGATACTCAAATGCTCTAAACGGTGTGTTGATCCGGTGCTGCCATAAAAAAAAATAATGTGGCTGTTAAAATCTTTTCTGGTCGTTCTGAACAAAATTGTCATCTTTTCTCATATTTTTTATTAAATATATTATTTTAAGGATTTATATCATCTGCCTGGGTTTTGCGAACTTTTTATTTTAGATATTTTGTATTAAGAATTAAATTTTTTTTTAATCCCAACATCGGGATTTCAAGATGTTTGGTATTAGAACTAGAAAATTGAAAATATTAATTTTTGATTTAAATGAAGTACGCAAACGCGAAAAAATGTTAGGTCTAAAACAAATTCTGTTTTAATTCTTAATATATGCGTGGGGTAAAGCTTTTTCTTTTTTGTTAGTAGTTAGGATTAAAATATTTTCTTAGTAGTAGTTGGGATTAAAATATTTTCTTAATTTAAAAACTTATTTTTAATTCCATTTTTGGCATTAAAATTTTATTTATTTTTGGTTTTTTAATCCCGTATGTGTAATTAATGTTTTATTTTTTAATCCCGTATGTGGGTCTACATTTTTTTATTTTGTAATCCCAAATATGAGATTTAAAAAAATTTAGTTCAAAGGCTAATTCAATTATTTTTTTAATGCATTATATGCAACCCTGGATTGGGTCATCCACCGAACAATTGCTTCGTGTGAGTGCTATCAATAGCACAAACTTTGAATCAGGTGATTCCAGAAATCAAAGAATGCTCGATATAGAAATTTGAAGAATATTTCAATGGAGATGTGAAAGATTTGACAAACAAAAAATACAAAAAAAAAACGTTCATTCATGTATGTTATTTGCTTTATACAAAGGGTTTTTTGTCCTTAAGCTTTGTTTTAAAGCTTGAAAAAAGTTAAACCTTTACTTCTTGATATTAAATTTTGTTTATCTTTATCCAAATTTTTTATTGGTTGGACACATATTAAATTCATTTGTTTATTTTTAGAATTTTTCATTTTTACATGAATAAATTGTGTTCCGGAAAGAACTTTAAAACCGCGCACAAGACCGTGAAATAATTGTCTAGTCAAAAACTATAATTTCATAAACTTTTTTCAAACTAGTGCATGCGACATTGAGGATGTCATGTATATAAATATTTTCCCTTTGAAATTGTTTCCCATGGCATGTTGTTTTTTACGATATTTTAATATAAAATTATTTAATAGATTCTTTGTTCTTTTCAAAATTTAAGCAAGTTATAATATTATTTGAAAGTAGTATAGACTTGCCACTGCCTCTTACATATCACCCTTTTAATGCACACAAATAAGCCAATATCAGAAAGAGCAAGCAAAACTTCGAGGTTATGGCGAGAATTTCCAAAATTTTGCAAATCGCTTTTGACTCACCTTTGCGTAAAGTTCAATGGCTGCAAATTCGGTTTATTTCCGGTAGTTAAATTTGCACTGGCAGACCAAATACAGAGAGGTTACTGGCTGCCCACAGCTGCTGCAACAAAACAACACAGAGTCCACAATGAAAGCGTGCACTTTTCAGTTGCAAGTCCTGACGAGCTGTTGTTCCTGTATATGTTGTTATGTATGTGTATGTGTGTGAGTGTAACTTGTTTGAGCTGATTACTCAGCTAGACTTGGCGCTTCCTGTGCACAACTGTGTCCTGCTGTGGCTATTGTCGCTCCTAAATTTATGCAACTACAACGCAGTGCTGCTGTTACGCCGCTTAGGGGCGCCAATTCAATTGTGGGCGTGTCTGCATGTATGTCTGTGTGTTTGTAAGTTTAGTTTTGTATGGGAAAAAACGTTTTTTTTGTGTGTGTTTCATCAAGTCTTTTGCCGCGTTTTTCGACTTTTGTGTTTGCAGCGAGTATTTGCTTTGTGTTGGCGCGCAAACTTACGGCACAGGCGGATAGCTCATTGCATAATTAAATACTTTCCGGTGTGGCGTTGTAGCGACTCTGCATACTAGGCAATGCAAGAACATATTTTAGAGCTTTAGGGTGGCAAGGCAAACGATAGCGAGCGAGCAGCAACAGCAACAACAACAAAGCTGGTACAACTTACGATGCTAATAAATCACTTTCCATACTTTGGAGGCGGCATTGCCATAGACGAATGTGCACGCGCGATAATGCATTGAAAGCGGGGAGAGACTATGAAAAACAAAAATTGCTAAAAAAAAATATATATAAAAATTTCTCCACGGAAGCCAAAGAATTAATTGTAGTTTGAACAGCGGAAGCTTGCTGCATATAGCCGGTTGAAATTTTAATAGGACAACTGCAGTGCGGCGCATGCAACACGCATAAAAAGTGTGCAAATTTTACGCGCGAAATATGCTTTTGTGCGAAAAATTAGCGGTAAAAAAATTTTATACCATATATAGCAACAATATCAAAATTAAAAGTGCAAAACAATTGCAGAAACAAATAGTGAAAAGAAAATCCGCAGTCAGCGGCGCGTCTGACAGCAACAGGAAAAGTTGCTGTTAAGGATAGGAAACAGCAGCAGCATGCCGCATTAATTTATGGGCACATAATTATCCAAACATACATATACATGTGTATGTATGCATATGGCGACGCGTATGAATGCAAAATCATATGCATAAAATTTCATATATTCACCCACACATATGTGAGCGTGTGTGCTGCTGTCAGGACAAGCTGCCTGCAGACAAGCAAAAAAGTGGCTGCGCGCCGAAAGGATGCCAATAAGTGAGTGCATACACACGCGCTCTGACATATTTTTATGTGCATATAAATAAACATGTCAATAATGCACGCTGCCATGCTTGCATGTGTGTGTGTTTTGTTGTTGTTGTTGTTATTTTATTATTGTTCTTTTTATTATTTCTATTACTGTTGTTGTTGTTTCTGCTATTATTATTATTTTTTTTGTTATTATGACTGCTTTTGTTGTTGTTTTTGCTATCGAACTGCAAGTAGCGGAAATTGCGTTAAAATTCACTATTTTCGCTATTTTATTATGACAAGAGTGTCACTCGCTGCCACTTGCTCGCTGCTGGTTCACCCGCATTTGCTTTGCCACTCATTCTACAATTTTGTATTTAATTCTATTTTATTTGCTTGCCACATTTCATTGCGCACTCACAACCCGCCTTGAGTAAGTTATAGAATTTCTTTTATTTTATTAAAAAAAATTTTTTTTTTATTACTTTTTTTTATAATATTTTTTATTAATTTTTAATGCCATTTAATGTAATTACCGATATTAGCATTCAACAACACGCACTGATAAAATTAGTTGCTCATACTCACTGTTGCACCGTTGCTGCTGCAGCTGCATCTGCTGCCTGTTTAGTATGCAAGCAAATATTTTAATATCTCATTTCTTTTGCATGCACATTTTACACGCTTTTATTATTAATTTTTAACTGCATTTCTGCTTGTTATAGATTTCGAAAAACACGATTTTTCCTTTGTGCACACTGACACATATTCAATTATTTTTTTATTTAAGTTCACTCCATTCACTCTGCCCCGCAGCTGCTAACTGCTTGCTTGTTATTTATATTTTTTCTGCTAATATTTATTTATTATTTAGTGTTTTAGTTTGGTATTTTTACACGCGCTGACGCGAAACAACGCCGTTACGTTAAATGGTTGCACGAAGACTAAATTGTATCGTTCACTAAGCAACACTCAGTAGCGGCAGGCAGCAGCAATCAGCAAGCTGCTTGTGTCGAGCAAACAGCCAACGATATCCTGCGCTGCTGCTACGCATCGTTCGTGTGCAACTGGTCGAAAGTGCCGAAGTCTTTGCCTCGTTTTGGCATCGTTTCGTCGTTGTCTGTCGTTGGCAGTGTCCCAGTTTTAGTTACAGCGGCGGCTATTGACGGCAACAGCTGACTGTTCTGTTATGTTCCTAAAATGTTGCGCAACATATGTTGCTAAACTTTGTGTTTGTTACATTAGATTACAGTAACAGATTTTGCTTGCTGTAAGCAAAAAATGTTAAGTAGTTTTAGGGCGCGAAGTTAATCTTTCGTTTTTCTCTAACTTCAGATTCAGATTTTGGTACTTATTGGAAGTATTTGCTACTATTCGTAACGCAATTTTATAAAATAGTCTTCACAATCCTATTTTATAAACTTAATATCGTTTAAAGCATCTACCTTTCCTCTTTATTATGTAACTAATTTTAAATTTAATATTCCTAACACAAAATCTGATTTGTGAATCCTCAATCGAGACTTTTTTGTAAGCGCAAAACGAAACATAAAATATCAGAAAATTTTTTTTTATTTTTTAGTCGCTTTTTCACACCACGTGCTTCTGTTATAGAGTGTTTCTACCGTTGAAGCATAAACAATTTTATACAATTTTTTTTGTGAATTTTTGCTCAAGTTGTTCGATTTCAATTTCAGATTAGCTATGGCCGAGTGGACTTATGTATATAATATGTGATATCAATTCGAGTTTAAGAGTCGGCAGGAAAACGGCATGTATATAATAAGTTAGAATTAATCGTTGTGGTTGAAAAGCTGGGTGAAAAAGAGGTACACTGAAATGTACTTTGCGCTTAAATTAAAGAAATGCAATTTTTCGAGATGTCACGCCTGAGTAGATTTGCGTAAATTCTAATATCGCGAACTTGTATTTCAGCCCGACTTTGTGAAGTTGATTTTTTCTAGCCATGCCGGTTTCTTTAGTGCTTTAGTTGTTAGTTGTGAATCTACAAAATGCACAAAAATGGAGTTTAAACCTAAATCTAAGAATCAGCCATTTTTTCGGAGTATCTTTGAATTTGAACCTTTCATACAAATGTTAATTGTGAATATAGAATTTACAAATTTCGGGAAAAAATTCATCAAAATAGCAACATTTCTAAACGTCAGTCCCCAAAAGTTTAAATAAAATACTGTAAAATATAACTAAAGTTTGGATCATACTATTACTGTTTCCAAATGATAACGTCTTTGAACAACATTAAAACGTGAAACTCTTTCAAAATTAAATTTAAAATGTATTTTACTGACAAATCCATCATAACTATTATTTCCTGTTTCATGCCTTCTTCTTGTATTTGCTAAAATATTTTTTAATTAGTTCTCGACAATATTATTTAGTATTTTATATTATTCAAAAAAATAATATTGTGAGAGAAATTAACTTGGGTAATAATTACAATTTCTGAACAGAATAGCTTCGTTTGGGCTGAGGCTTCCTTTCTTTTGAAATGCTAGTTTGTTTTTGACGAAGGTATTGATAATATTTTACAACTTATGATTTTATATATGACACATACTGCTTTTGAAAAGAAAACAATTAACCAACTGCTCGTTGCAAGAAGTAGTCTAGTCCCATAGTAAATGAAATGTTTAATAATAAGGCGTGGCTTGTTAGTTTTATCTAATGATCATCATGTGATGAAAATATATCTACAAGGCTCAAGTGGCATTACTGCAATGTTTGATTTGATGAAAGTAGAAATATTGATATTTTGCCAGTTCAAATACGTAAATACTTCACTTACACAGATTATAGACAAAATAATTCAATTGAATGATAATCAACTTAAGATACTGTCTATTACTTGTATTGCGAGAAAGTAATTTTATTTATGTTTAGCTTAATGTCTTTTTTAGAACAGTAAGTCCGTACAATAATTTCAGAGCTCGTTACCTCCGAGATATCACTGCCGAAATTTATCGTTATGAGAGTAAAATCTATCCCTCATGAAACACCATGAATTTTTTTGTGTTCGATATGTGAAAGTAGTCAAAATATCATATTGAAATATACCAATATTAAGGAGCGAACCTAGCGTGAAGTTACAGATTAAACTTTTAAAAATTCGATACAAAAACTTCAAATTAATATTTCAAATATTTTTAAGTTACAGGTTCAAACAAAGGTCAAAGTTTCACAAGCCAAAACCGACTAAAATTTTGGAATAAATTCAATTTATATTTAAAACGTCGCCTTAATGTCAATTATTGGTTTTTTCGACCAAAGATCTTTTTCCGATTTTAGAGAGGGCCGGATTTACTGCAGCGCGAAAAATATTTTATTTGTATCATAAAATTATTTACTGTGTTTTGTTAAATTAGATTCATCACCGCCAAATTAAGGTATCATGGACTTTTGCTTTGTTCTTGTGAAATGTGGGACCAGGTTTGCCTTCGCTCTTAAATGTAGGCAACGTTAATTGCAAGTATAAAGCTTCAGCGTTGGTATGTATTATAGAAATATACCAATATTACGCAAAATCTATTCAAACCTAAAAGCATAGGATGAAAATAATAATGCCATACTTCCTCATACTAACTATCGATATCGTTCAGAACAAACATACTCGTATATATGTATGTATAGAAAGCGTTTTGAAATCTGCAGAAGTGTCGACTTTTCAAACAAACTTTAATGCTACTAGAAAATATAATTTATCGGCAAAATATTCGATGTAAACAAAAAACCACTTATCAGTTTTGCAGTTAATTTTCAAAGTAATTCTACCGCACCACTTAAGAGAGCTGATTATTCAAAAATTTTCCCAAAACAGAATTACGTAACTATGGCTAATAAATTTCGAGCAAACAACAAAATCAGCAAAAAAACATAAACTGCAAATAATTATAAAATCAAAGGGAAACTCAGCAAAGCCGCTCACGATAGCATAATAACATTAACAACACATACACACAAACATTTGCAGAGACAAAAGATAATTTGTATATGTGTGTGTGTAAATAATGTAAAAGTTATCAGGAATTAATGACTCAACATTAACACGAGAAGTTACACAAACAAAAACAACACTATTATTTATCTTTTTATATGTATGCGTATACAGTGTGCCATTATTGGGTGACTGGGTTAATAATTGCTTTTGTATGCGTGTTTGTGTGGCTGATTTGTTTTATTGGGCTGTCGAAGTGCGGTCGGCTCGTTCGTTCATTGAACATTTCGCCTATTCATTTGTGCGGATAAACAAACTCGTGTAATCACTTTTAAAGTAGAAGACAATTTACGAGAGGATCTGGTTGGGGTTTTTGTAATCAACGACAAAACAACAATACCCACGACCTTAGTTTGTAAGCAATCTACGAGTATATAATATTATAAATCCGTTTATATGTGTACATGTGTGTGTGAACTTGCATATGCCTTGAGCCTAAACGATTTTAGGTATTTCGACGTCATGCCACGGTTGCTTATTTTAAGAAATTGTTTTCACCAGCAAATTGTCGAAGGGCAACACACCATTAGCATCGAGTGAACTTTCACTCCTGTGAGTGTGTTTGTGCCGTTCGGCTTTGCGTTGATTGCTGATTGAAGCGTCCGCAATAAACACCTTAAAACTTGATGATGTCATTCTATTAAAAACCGTTTGCCACATAAACCTTCATGCCCTTGCAACATTTGATGAGGCCCAACTTTGGATTTGGGTACATTTTTGCCGCACTTGAGTGAAGTGAAAATGTGGTGAGATTGAAAACCACTAAACTACTGCTCGTCTTTTGTCGCAAACTCTAAGCGGCAATTTGGTGGCAGTGATAGCGCAACATATACTCAATAGTTAAATGTGTAGGTGTGTTGGTGTGTCTGAATTGTTGTTACGCATTACTTTGGTTGAGTGGTTTTCGAGAAACCCTTTTCATGCCACCGCAATTGATTTGCTACGCTTCCTTTTGTGCTGGTTATCTTTATTGAATCTTGTGAAAATTTTGATGATATTTGTTAAAATTTATGAATCGTTTTATGACTATCTAGTTTTGAGAGTTTATTATGCAAGCAAAACTGAAAATTTATCAGAAATGTGTAAGATCTTAGTTTAAAAAAAAATTCTATAAGTAATAGTTATACATTTGTAGTAACCTAAATAGCTGCATCCATTATCGTATTTGATCCGGCATCAACACTATAGCATACGAAATTTCTGCAAATCCACTTTCTCCAAGTATATCCAACAACTCAGTTCTAATAAATTAATAATATTCATTGTAAGCCTTAATTGTTATATAAATTTACTATATATTCACTCTCTTGAATTAGTATAAATACCATTCAATAAAAATTTCCCAACTACAAGTTTACTTAATAGTTACATCAAAACTTTTCTAGCACCCAGAACGAAACCTTCGAGACCCTATAAAACATATATATTATATAAATGATCAGCGTGATGAGCTGAGTCGATTTAGCCATATCCATCTATCCATTTGCTTGTATATACGAGAACTAGTCCCTCAGTTTTTGGGATATCGATATGAAATTTTGCACACGTCCTTTTCGCCTCAAGAAGCTGCTCATTTGTTGGTACCGCCGATATCGACTTATATAGCTGCCATACAAGCAGCTATCAAAGTCAAGTTCTTGTATGAAAAACTTTTTTATTTTAAAATATATCTTCATGATATTTGGCACAGCTTATTGTTTAAGTCAACGGTACAATATTTTAATAAATTTTTCAGATCGGACCACTGTAGCATATAGCTGCATACAAGCAGTCCGATCAAAATCAAGTTCTTGTATGTAGACGTTTTTGTTTGTGAATGTTATTAAGTTAATGTTTTTTTCTTTTTTTATAAGAAAAATTGCGACCATAAGAAAGAAGCCTTTATATTTGGATGGATGTGTGTAGATGATAGTGCAAATCTATATCTGATAAA